AACTCACTAAGTTTTAGGGTAGTTTGCTATGCATCAAATAGAAAGCTAACACAGATTTTGGTACTGGGAGTAGGGTGTTGTCATAACATACCTAAAAATGTGGGAATATCTTTCAAACTTGGATGTGGGTGGAGGCTGGAAAGATTTTAAGGAGCATGTTAGAGAAATCCTAAATTGCCTGAATAGACTATTAGTTGAAATTTGGACTATAGGATGCCGATGAAGGCTCAAAAGGAAGTGAAGAACATGTTTTGGAAACTGGAGGAGCTTATGTGATAGAAACTTAGCAACACTGTCATCTGCAGTTATGTGGAAAGTAGAGAATTGTGCTTCATGAACTTGGTGATCTATCTAATATTTCCAAGAAAAGTGTTGAAGGCATCAAGTTTCTTGCTGCTTTTAGCAAAAAATGAAAGGAGATAAATTGAGAGAAAGACTGTCAAACACAAAGGATCCAGGACTTGATGGTTTTGAAAATTATTAGCCTCTGCAGATAGCACAAGATTCTAAAGTTAAGAAATAGCTCTGAAACACTATCAGGAAAATATGATCTAGAAATAAAGCAAAAGATGTGACTATACAACCTTTTCTTAAGACCTCAGATCAGAGGACCAGAGCATTCAGCCACACAAAACTCCCCTTGAAGAGATTAAGAGTGCCTCATAGATATCAGTCAAGCAATAGGGCCTCTAGGAAGCTTAAGAGTGTGTCCCTCAGCCCTCTCAGCAGGAGTCCAAGATAAAGAATGGCTTATCTCAGAGAGATCTGTAGGTGCACTTTTCATCTAAGGGAGTGAACCCAGTGAGATTCACAGACAACTCATAAAATTTTAGAGCAAATTATATGAACAGAAACACTACCACCTTAGACTTAAAGGGATAGAGACAATACAAAAATGGAAAGATGTCAGACCTTCAAAATTCTACCGGTAGGAAGCAGACTGAGAAAACTCTTCTGCTACCTTTCCTGAAATGCTACCTTTCAGCCTTTCATGAAATAGGAAAGATGGCTCAGAGGGTGGGACCAGAAACACAGAGGGTAGAACCAAAAGCCATGAAGAACTTATCAAGGCACTCCTAAATTTGCCCAGCCAGATAAAATTTATTTTCTTCACCATGTAAAAATTTTGTAGTTTGTATTCTGTATTTTGACCTCTGTTTCTTCTGTTGAGCAATGAATGGTCATTTTAATCACTGTTTCCCTGTATGTAATATATCTTTTTTGTTTGTTTGTTTTCTGGCTGCTTTCTTTTCTTCTTTGGTTTTCATTAGTTTGATTACACTGTGCATAGATGTGGTTTTCTGTGGATTTATCCTGCTTGAATCTGTAAATTTATGTCTTTTACCATATTTGGGAAGTTCCTGCCTCTTATTTGTTTTTTATAAATTTATTTATTTACTTATTTATTTTTGTCTGCATTGGGTCTTCGTTGCTGTGTGTAGGCTTTCTCTAGTTGTGGTGAGCAGGGGCTACTCTTCATTGTGGTGCATGGGCTTCTCACTGCAGTGGAGTCTCTTGTTGCAGAGCACGGGCTCTAGGTGCACGGGCTTCAGTAGTTGTGGCATGCGGGCTCAGTAGTTGTGGCTTGCAGGCTCTAGAGCGCAGGCTCAGTAGTTGAGGCGCACGGGGTTAGTTGTTCCACAGCATGTGGGATCTTCCCAGACCAGGGCTCGAACCCGTGTCCCCTGCATTGGCAGGCAGATTCTTAACCACTGTGCCACCAGGGAAGTCCATACCTTTTTTTTTTTTTTTTTTTGCGGTACGTGGGCCTCTCACTGTTGTGGCCTCTCCCATTGTGGAGCACAGGCTCCAGATGCGCAGGCTCAGCCGCCATGGCTTACGGGCGCAGCCGCTCCGCGGCATGTGGGATCTTCTCGGACCGGGGCACGAACCCGTGTCCCCTGCAACAGCAGCTGGACTCTCAACCACTGTGCCACCAGGGAAGCCCCACTTGGTTATTTTTTTAAATTGAGGTATAATTGACATATAACATTATATTAGTTTCAGGTATATAACATGATGATTCAATATTGTATATATTGTGAAATGATCACCACAATAAGTCTAGCTAACGTCCATTACCATACATAATTACAAATTTTTTTCTTGTGATGAGAACTTTTAAGATTTACTTTCTTAGCAACTTTCAAATATGCAATACAGTATTATTAACTATAGTTATCATGCTGTATATTACATCCCCATGACTTATTTATTTTATAACTGGAAGTTTGTACCTTTTGACCCCTTCACGCATTTCACCCACCACCCACTCCTGCCTCTGGCAACCACCAACTGTTCTCTGTATCTGTGAGCTCTGTTTTCTGTTTTTTGTTTTTCTTAGACTCCACATATAAGTGAGATCATATGGAATTTTCTTTCTCTGTCTGATTTATTTCACTTAGCATAATGCCCTCAAGGTCCCTCCATGTTGTTGCAATGGCAATATTTCCTTCTTTTTTATAGCTGAATAATATTCCATTGTGTGTGTATGTGTGTGTGTATGTATGTGTGTGTGTGTGCATATACACACACACCATGTTTTCTTTATCCATTTTTCCACTTATGGATGCTTTGGTTGATTCTATATCTTGGCTCTTGTAAATAATGCTGCAGTGAACGTGGGAGTGCAGATATCTTTTTGAGTTAATGTATTCATTTTCTTTAGATAGATACCCAGAAGTGGAAGTGCTCGGTCATATACCTAGTTCTGTTTTTAATTTTTCGAGGAACCTCTATCTTGTTTTCCATAGTGGCTGCACCAATTTGCATTTCCACCAACAGTGCACAAGGGTTCCCTTTTTCCTGTGTTCTCACTAACACTTGTTATTTCTTGTCTTTTCGATGATAGCCACTCTAACAGGTATGAGGTGATATCACACTGTGGTTTTGATTTGCATTTCCCTGATGATTAGTGATACTGAGCACCTTTTCATGTACATGTTGGCCATCTGTATATCTCTTTGGAGAAATGTGTGTTCAGATCCTCTGCCCGTTTTTTAATCAGATTTTTTTGGTTTTTTTGCTGTTGAGTTGTATGCGTTCTTTATATATTTTGCATATTAACCCCTTATCAGATATATGGTTTGCAAATATTTTTTCCCATTCAGTAGGCTGCTGTGTCATTTTGTTGAAGGTTTCATTCGCTGTGCATAAGATTTTTACTTTGGTATATTCCCACTTGTTTATTTTTGTTTTTTGTTGCCTTTGCTTTTGGTGTCAAATCCAAAAATTTATCTCCAAGACTTATGTCAAGGAGCTTACCACCTATGTTTTCATCTAGAAGTTGTATGATTTCTGATCTTATGTTCTAGTCTTTAATCCATTTTGAGTTATTTTTTGTATGTAGTATAAGATAGTGCTCCAGTTTCATTCCTTTGCATGTGGCTGTCCAGTTTTCCCAACACCATATATTGAAGAGACTGTCCTTTCGCCATTTTATGTTCTTGGCTCCTTTGTCATAAGTTAATTGACTGTATATGTGTGGGTTGATTGCTGGGCTTTCTGTTCTATTCTGTTGATCTGTATATTTGTTTTTTTTTTTTTTTTGCTGTATGCGGGCCTCTCACCGCCGTGGCCTCTCCTGTTGCGGAGCACAGGCCCAGCGGCCATGGCTCACGGGCCCAGCTGCCCCACGGCACGTGGGATCCCCCCGGACCGGGGCATGAACCCGTGTCCCCTGCATCAGCAGGCGGACTCCGAACCACTGCGCCACCAGGGAAGCCCTGTATATTTGTTTTTATACCACAATCGAGTTACTTAATACATTCATCACCTCACAGAGTTGCTTAGTTTGAGAGTGTGTGTGTGTGTGTGTGTGTGTGTGTGTGGTGAGAACACTAAAGTTAATTTTTGTATATGGTGTGAAATGTGGGTCAGGGTTTGTTTTTTTCCTCCAAAACTCATATCCATTTGTTCCAGCACAATTTTTAAAAAAGACTTTTCCTTTCCCCCATTGAATCACTTTGGCACCTTTGTCAAAAACCAGTTGTCCATATGTGTGCAGATCTGTTTCTGGATTCTCTATTCTGTTCCATTGATACATGTGTCTGTACTTAGATCAATACCACACTGTCTGATTATTGTAGCTTTAAAGTAAGTCTTAACATTGCATAGTATAAATCCTCCATGCTAATCCTTGCTTTGTGTATTCTAGTTCCTTTGTGTAGCCATATAAACTTTTAACATCTCCCTGTCAATTTTTACCAAAAAGTTGACAAATAATTGGCTGAACAAGTAGAAGACAAATGAGTAAAGTGATATAAAATTTCAACAGCACTCAATCAAGTTGATTTATATATTATAACTGCACCCACCAATAACTGAATATGCATTCCTTTCCAGGGACACATGAAACGTTCTTCTGGATAGAACTTATGTTGAAATCATACAGAGTATGTTTTCTGACCACTATGGAATTAAATTAAAATTGGCCAAAAAAAAAAAAAAGGCATCAAGAGAAAATGGCTATATTTTTGAAGACTAAATGAAAACAGCAGTAGAGGGAGCTATGTAAAGTGAAAAAAAAATGTACATTCTTCCTTCTAAAAGTTATAAAACACAAATTCCCATTAAAATGAGCAACAAAATAGGATCAAGTTCAAGTCCTGTACAGAAATATTATTTTTTAAAATGAAAGACTGAGGGGCTTCCCTGGTGGCGCAGTGGTTGAGAGTCCGCCTGCCGATGCAAGGGACACGGGTTCGTGCCCCGGTCCGGGAAGATCCCACATGCCGCGGAGCAGCTAGGCCCGTGAGCCATGGCCGCTGAGCCTGCGCGTCCGGAGCCTGTGCTCCGCAACGGGAGAGGCCATAGCAGTGAGAGGCCCGCGTACCAAAAAAAAAGAAAGACTGAGTGTTGTACACAATGAATAGCAGAAATTTCCAATTAGATATTTGTGTTCTGTACATTATGTATAAGTAGGTATTTAATAGGCATGCCCTATGGGATATTATGGTAAAAGTTACTAAAAACAATTTTCTATCTCTTCCCTATCCCACCATGCTGACCATGTCACCCTGAATGGGATTGTGTTGTTACAGGTGTCAGTGTCCTTTGAGGACGTGGCTGTGGACTTCAGCAGGGAGGAGTGGCAGCAGCTGGATTCTACTCAAAGGCGCCTGTACCAGGACGTGATGCTGGAGAACTATAGCCACCTTCTCTCACTGGGTAAGCAGAGCCACTCTGTGAACCTACAAGGACCTTGTTATGGGTAAAATTGTGCCCCCCCCCAAAGAAAATATGTCGAAGTCCTAACCCCCACTACTTCTGAATGTGACCTTATTTAGAAATAGGGTCTATCCAGAAGTAATCAAGCAAAAACAGGGTCATTAGATGGGCCCTAATCCAATATGACTGGCATCCTTATAAAAAAGGGACATCTAGACACAGAGACACAGAAACACAGAGGGAAGGCAATGTGAAGACATACAAGGAAAAGATGACCATGTGACTGGAGTGATGCATCTATAGAACAAGAAATGCCTGAGGCCACGAGAAGCCAGGAGTGAGGCATGGAACAGTTCCCTCCCTAGCACCTTCAAAAAGAGCATGGCCCTGCTTACACCTTGATTTTAGACTTCTGGCCTCCAGAACTTCAAGACAATAAATTTCTGTTGTTCTGAGCCACCCAGTTCGTGGTACTTTGTTACAACAGCCCTAGGAAACTAGCACAGCTTTCTGTACTGGGAAGCGGGATGCTACCGTAACAAATACCTACAAAAACCATGGAGGTGGCTTTGGAATTGGGCAATGGGTAGAGCCTGGAAAGATTTTCAGGTGCTTGATAGAAAATGTCTAGATTGCCTCAGAGAAACTGTTGGTAGAAATAGGAGTGTTAAAGGTGTTTTTGGTGAGGTCTCAGATGGAAGTGAGGAACATATAATTGGAAACTAGTGGAAAGGTGATTCTTATTATAAAGTGGCAGAGAATTTGGCTGAATTGTGTTCTCTTGGGTAGAAAACAGAAGTCGTGAAAGATGAATTTGGATATTTAGCTGAGGAGATTTCTAAGCAAAGTGTTAAAGGGAGGGCTTGGTTTCTGCTTCATATTTACAGTAAAATGCTAGAGGAAAGAGAGAAATTGAAGAAGGAATTGTTAGTAAAAAGGAACTAGAATATGAAGATTTGGAAAATTCTCAGCCTATCCATACTGCAAAATATAAGAAGGTGTACTCTGGAAAGAGCACCAATGGTGTGGCTGGACAACCAGTTGCTAAAAAGATTAGGTATATGATTTGTGGATCCAGTCAACCATCTCAGGAGAAACGCTGCCAGCTTGGGCTGAAGAGGACGGAGGCAGGGAAAAAGGAAGGAAGGCTGGGGTTCTGGGATTCTACAGACAGGAAACAGTCCAGTAAAGCTATTTGGCTGTGAACACCCTTCAAGAAAAGGGATGAATGACCCCCAAAATGGTTCAGAAGCCATCAGGGCTGTCACTGCCATCACAGGCCCAGAGGGCACAGACTGGGGAGATGCAGGGTGACTGGCTGTCACCTCTTTGTTTCCAGAAGGTGAGCCACCTAATTAGTTCCAGAGCTAAGAGGGCAGGGCCACCACCCAGTTGTGAGGTCGCCACATCTGATCTGAGGTCACACCTCTTAACATGCTCTCTTGAACTCTCTCTTCAACTGTCATTATGGTACTTGTTGACTATCAATTTTGAGCCAGTATTTAGCCTTAGACGGAGTTTACCGCCCACTTTAGGCACATTCTCAAGGAACACGACTCTGGGAGGACCCAGTCTCAGTGCTCCAAGGGCGGCTCCTGGCCTCATACCATCCACAGGCTGGGCCTCCATCATAAGGACTTGGGCCCCTTACGAGCAGCACTGGGAGGCAGGTGTTGCCCCTCCTTTTGTTTATGGAAGAGCCAGACACAAAAACTTACTCTTCAAGACCTTAGAAGGGATATCTCAACATGCCCCACAGCACTGGACCCCTAGAAATTTCACTGCGATAGAAGGCCCCTAAATTTTTGTCAGATTTATTTCCCACCTTCTGCCACACAAATGTCTTATCCATAAGTCTAGAGTGGTTGCTCCTCCTTGCTCACTAGGTCTAATGAGCATAGTATCATCCATGTAATGGACCGATATGATGTCCTGTGGAAGGGAAAGTTGATCAAGATCCCTGCAGACTAAATTATGACATAGGACTGGAGAGTTGATCTGCCTCTGAGGTAGGACAGTGAAGGTGTATAGCTGGCCTTGCTAACGGAGAGAAAACTGCTTCTGCTGGTCTTGACTAACAGGTATTGTTTTTTAAAAAAAGCATTTGCCAGATAAATAGCTACATACCCGGTATCAAGGAGTGCGTTCATTTGCTCAAGCAACAAAACCATATCTGGTACAGCAGCTGCTGTTGGAGTCACTACCAGGTTGAGTTTATGATAATCCACTGTCTTCTGCACAGGCCAAATAGGCATGGTGAATAGGGGTGTAGTGCAACCACCACCCTGCATCCTTCAGGTCCTTGATGGTGGCAGTAATCTCGGCAGTCCTTCAGGAATGCGGTACTGCTTTTGGCTTACCATTTTCTGAGGTAGAGGCAGTTCTAGTGGCTTCCACTTGGCATTTCCCACCATAAAACGCCTCACTCCATAGGTCAGGAAACCAATATGGGGATACTGCCTGTTGCTGAGTATGTGTATTCCAGTTATGCATTCCTGGACCAGAGAAATAACCGCAAGATGGCTTTGGGGATCCACTGAGCCCACTGTGTGTGATGGACCTGAGCGAAAACTCCATTGATCACTTCACTTTTATAAGCCCCTACGCTGTCTGCTGGGCCACAGTGATGTTTTGGGTCTTTTGGAATTAGTGTCAGTTCAGTGCCAGGGTCCAGTGATATCTGGTAAGCCTCATTGTTTTTGTCCCCAACACACAGCTACCCTGTAAAGGGCTATAGGTCCCTTTAAGGAAGGTTGGGAGAAAGGTTAGTAGTATAAATTTTTGGCAGTGTCATGGGTTCCTTCCTTCAGGGACCCAGCCTCCCCTTCATTCAAAAGTGTTCATTCCGGGTATATAAACAGGCTCAAGTCTGAGAATTGATTGAGGAGCCAGGACTCTGTGTTTTGATGTTTCAAGTTAGATTTCTGTTCACTTGACCTAGAACTCTTCTCCTTATACAGATCAAGTAAGAATTTAGTAGATTGCCCAGGGATTTCTAGGGATGTCGGGATCAACTAGCCAACCCCATAGATCTCTGTGAATTGGACTTTTTGTTTGTTTGTTTTTTTGGCAGTGCAGAAAGTTTGTTTTATTTCTAATGCATATTAAAGACATGTATGCTTTTTTTTCCTATTTGACAGTAGTATGGTATATGAGAAAGAAGTTTAAATCTTCACCCGGCCACTTGTTGAGTGAATAACTAAGCCTCTTACTAGCTATGTGATTTTGAAATTTTACCTCTCTGAGCCTCAGTTTCCTTATCTAAAGGGACGAAGAGGAAAGTTATTTTGAAGATGAAATGAATGAATTTATCTAAAGTGCCTAGGGCAGTGTCTGGTACATAATGAATACTCAGTATTCTTTTATTTCCCCTTTCCTTGCTCTTAATGTGTTGATATGTCTGTCTGTGAGCAGATGAGCCACTCTGTAACAGGTGTTATATATTTTTTTTTTAACATCTTTATTGGGGTATAATTGCTTTACAATGGTGTGTTAGTTTCTGCTTTATAACAGAATGAGTCAGTTATACATATATATATGTTCCCATATCTCTTCCCTCTTTGTCTCCCTCCCTCCC